GGGGACATAGTCTGGAACCTTTCAAACTCTTTAATAATACTTTTCAGCAGCAGAATTCTTTTTTTGTTTTGTTTTGTTTTGTTTTGTTTTTGTTTTTCAAGACAGGGTTTCTTTGTGTAGCCTTGGCTGTCCTGGACTTTCTTTGTAGACCAGGCTGGCCTTGAACTCACAGCTATTGGCTAGCCTCTGCCTCCTGAGTGCTTGGATTACAGGTGCGTGACACTGCACCTGACTCCAGCAGCAGATTTCTTATTTTAAGAAACCACTATGATGTACAGGACACTGGAGGAAGCTTGCTTAAACCCTTAAACCTGCCCTGCAGGTTCCTCTGGGAAGACTTGAGACTCAGGGGATGTATAGTCTTTATATGAAACCACAAAGGAACTCAACACATTCTGTATTACTTTGGAGACCTTTAGGGGTTAGAGGGAACCAGGAGATACACCCAGTGGCCCCCAGACTCTAATCTGAATGGTAACCTGAAAAAAACCTTAGTTGTTTTTCATGAACGAGACCCCAGAGCCACTGCCAAGGGTGAAGGGTGAAAGTCAGGGTGGGCTCAAGTAACCTGACAGGGACAGGCATCTCTGTGGGTCTCTTTTTGGACTCCTGAAGGTCCCCCCCCAAAAAAGAGTTCCACACTCAGGACAGCCACTTGCTGCTGACGGTGACCCACTGACTGCTCTCTCTCCTGAGGAATCCCTCCAGCTTCTATCAGATTCACGTGTTCAGCCCATTCTTTTTTTGGTTGTTCCAGTTTTTTTGGTTGGTTGTCTGCTTGCTTGCTTAGGACAGGGTCCTGTATAACCCCGGCTGGCTCTTGAATGCTCTGTGTGGCCAAGGATAACCTAATCTAATCCTCCTGCTTCCAACTGAAGAAGGGCTGGGATTACAGCTATATATCACCACAAAGGTTTCTGTGGTACTGCAGATGGAATCCAGGGCATTGTACATGCTGAGCTGTTTGTCTAGCTCCATTTTTTATTGTTGTTGATTGTTTTTGTTTCGATTTGAGACAGGACCTCACAGCACAGAACTTGCATGTACTGATGTTGACCTTGAGACAGTCCTCCCATCTCTACCTGCCCAGTGCTGGGATTACAGGTGTGCACAGTTGTGTGAATCTGTGCTTTAATTCTTCAGGCCACCGTCTGTTCTTGGGTGTGTGATGGGGCGGAGGGAAGACGCTTAATGCAAGGCTTCCTCCCTAATCAGAGGAAGCTTTGGGCAAATGGCTTTGCTCTGAGCTTGGTAGTCTTAGTCTCCCAACAGGCATCCCCAGGGCTGCTGTGAGGATGAAATGAGAGAATGTGTGTCAAGGCTCAGCCTTGTAGCAGCTCTAAGTGAGAGGTAAATCTAGCCAGGTTGTGGTGGCACACACCTTTAATCCCAGAACTGGGAGGGAGAGACAGGCAGGTCTCTGAGTTTGAGGCCAGCCTGGTCAACAGAGTGAGTCCAGAACAGTTAGAGCTACATGGAGAAACCAGACAAGTAAAAACAAAACAAAACAAAACCAACCAAACAAACAAAAAAACCCAAGGCTACAGAGATGGCTCAGTGGTTAAGAATACTGACTGCTCTGTGAGAGGACCAGGGTCCAGGTCTTAGCACCTAAATGGCAGCTCACAACTGCCAGTCCCTCAGGATCTGATGCTCTCTAACTCCAGTCCCTCGGGATCTGATGCTTTCTTCTGGTCTCAGGCACTAAGCATGCATCTGATACACACACACACACACACACACACACACACACACACAGGCAAAACCTTCATATACTTAAAATAAAAATAAATAAAAAAAAACTTTTTTTTTTTTTTTTTTTTTAAGAAGGCTCAGTTGGCTAAGGCATTTGCCACCCAAGCTTGATGAGCCTCAGTCCCCAGTCTTACATGATGGAAGGAAAAAACCAGTTCCCACAAGTTGTCCTCTGACCTCTATACCTGCTGCCTAGACCATACCTTCCTCCCATAAACAAATGCATCTTATAAATTGCTTTAATTGCTTTCGGTGGGCACCGTGGACAGCCCTCTAATCCCAGTACTTGGGGAAGGATGGCTATGAGTGTGAAGCCAGCCAGGGCTACACAGTAGAACCTTCTTTTTAAGTTTTAAAAGTGGGCGTGGTAGCATATTAGTGCCCACTCTTCAAAGCTGCTACAAGAAGTAGAATTCAGCGGGCACACGGCCCTAATCCTACTACTGAGGAGCTGACAGATTGTTGGCTAAAAAGAGGATAGAGAGCCTAGCGGCCAGCCTGGGCTACATGAGACCCTATCTCAAAACAAACAACCCCTGGCCCCCAAACAGAGAATCACACGAAGTGCTTAATAAAAGCCCTAGAACAAGAAAAATATTCTAAATAAAGTAATGATTGTAGTTATTACTACTTTTACCATTCTTTAAAAAAAAAATCATGAATATAATAAGAACCATGTAGTTTTATAGTTAGGGAATAGACAGCCTAAAGGCCTAGGTTCCATTTGCGGTTTACTCCCGGAGCTGTGTGACTCTGAGCAAGTGCTTGAACTTATCTGTGTCTTCGTTCTCAGACTCATGGGAACATGAACTGTCCCTACCACGCGCAGGTGCTGTGGTCATGGCATCCCTGTATGAGGAGTGCTCTGAGGAGTGCCTGGTAAATATTCAGCGCTATGGCACCGGTACCGATCCAGGAGTAGGTTTTGTGGGAGCCGCCTTGGCTCTCCATTCCAGTTCCACAAAGCCCACAGAACCACCGCCCCACTCCGAAGCTGGGCGACCACGGGCAAGTTAACTCCCCTTTCTGAGCCTGCTTTTCTTTATCTCCAAAATGTGTTATTATGGCCTCCAGGTTGTTAGGGCTGCGTGAGGGGTGAGCCGTGGGTCGATCCTCGTTCGTTAGCCCCGGGGAATCCGAAGCACTGCCCCTAACCAGCTCCGACCCCACCCTGCCCGTCTCCCCCTCCCTGCCCTCGGATTCCGTCCCGCCGAGCGCCAGGGGGCCGCGGCCTTGCCCGCAGCCAGGCCCTATTTCTGGGGACCGAGCGATCCCGAAGCCTTGCCAAGCTTCCCCGGGGATCGGGTTTCTGCTGACGCGGTGCCAGGCACGTCTGCTTCCAGGAACCGGCAGCCGCATTTAGCCGCGGGCCGCACATGAAAGGCTCTAGTCGGAAACGTGACGTTTTGTCAACAGGCGCGGCAGGTCAGCGCTGGGTGAGACCATCCCGGCAGCCCCGCCGAGCACGCCCTGTCTGAAGGCGGCCAGATCCCAGGCCTCCGCGCTCCTTGGCCCCGGAGTCCACGCTTCACCCCTCTCGGCTCACACACACACACACACACACACACACACACACACACACACACACACCCCTTTTTAAACAGAGGCCTTCTTTGTCCCCAACTGGGCTGAAGGCTGGGACCAGCGCCACTGCACACACCTTCCTGAACACCCTTGGGTCGTCTCCTAAAACCCGGTTTCGAAAAGTTCAGGACACTCTGGCGGCGGAAAAATAAAAAAATAAAATAAAATGAAGAGACAGACAGCTGCGCCTCCAGGGGGTTTTCACGCGGCAGCCTCTAGCAGAGACATTCTGGGTTGCCTGCCTGTGGGACCCTCCAATCTGTCCTTAGTTCAGGGCGCTTGAACCACTTCCTGCTGTCCGCAGCTACTCCTTGAGTCATCGCTCGGGAGAGAGCTGCCTGGCGGTGGGCTTAGCCGGCAGGAGGAATGCGAGAGAAAAGTCCCCTAAGGCGGGACCTGGGGACCATGCCATCTGTGCTAGTCCTAGTGCTAGGCTAGTGCGTGCGAGACTTAGAAGAATCCTCAAGAGCCTAGTCAGGAACTGCCTCTCCCCCTCAGCCCCCACCAGTCCACACTCCTGCCCCAGCACTTGTGGCTTGGGGACAGTTGTGCCCTTTTCATCCAGCACTGACTACACTCAACACTCTGTTAAGAGACCCTCCGGGAGTCAGAGGAGGTGACGTTTGGAAAGCCCTCTTGTTCAGGTGGCGCTGACAATTCCCTGGGGTTGGCTTCCCTGTGGGGGAGGACTCCCAGCAACCAGAAGATTCTAAATGATTCAGATGCTCTGGATCCCTGGATCATGTCAATCAGGAAAGCTCAGGACACATCATGTTGATGGGGAGAAAACAAAAATACTCAGCTCAGTCGTGTCCCGCATTATTAATTATTATTATTATTACAGAGCAGTGGTACTTGTTCCCACACACACCCAAAGAGAGAAAGTTGGAAGACATTAGAAAATAATTACGGACTGTTGTCTTCAACAGCATCAATGCAGGGTATGGCCAATCCATTAGAACTTGCTTGGTTTCAAAGCGTTGGCCTGCTTTGGCAAAGAGGTGCTGCCTCCAACCTCAATTATCATTAATAATCCATTAAATCTTTCTTCAATGAGTGTAGCCCTACAGAAACCACCCCGGACACTCCAGTCTATGAGCTCACACTCTGGATTTTCCCTTCAAGTTCTAAAGCAGCATGGGGCGAAGTGGTTGCTGAGGTAACTCTGGAAGCAAGCACAGAATACAGGTCCCTGACAGGAGTTCACTGAAAGGTACTAAAGACTGAGGTTGTGGCTTAGTTGGTAGCCTAAGAGGTATAAGGCTCTGAGTTTGATCACCAGCACGGCATAAAACCAGGCAATGCCATCTGGGTAATGTCTCTAATGCTCCAGGAAGCCTGGCTGTAACCCCAGCGTTTAGGTGGACACAGGAGAATCCATTTAAGCCCAGCCTTGGCTACATAGCAAATTGGGTGTCAGCATGTGCTATGTGTGAGTCTGTCTCAAAACAAAACAAAACAAAACAAACAAACAAATAAAACAGAAATAACCCAGCATTTACTTCCTATGTGGACTCAGCTTGTTCTTAACGCCAGCCATATGACAAGCTAAACAGAATTAGACCAAGATTAGCCAGATGCTGTCTTCAGGTAAGAGGACTGAGGAAGCACCATGACACTTAAGTTATTTTTAAAACCAAGGAGACCATTTCTCTTCCACAGGAAAAAGATCATTTTATTAAGTATTTTTAAAACAACTACTTAACATTCACTTAGATAAAAATATTTACAATTTCACACCTTCAGGAAGGTTCCAAAATATAAACACTGTAACCTCTCCTCTCCCTAGAGAAAAAGAATTATTCTTCTCTTCGAAAACAGGAATACATTCATTTTTCTCACTATGTAGATCAAGTAATTATACAAATAGACATCTGAAACATTTTCCTTTGTCATATATTTATATAATATATATTTATAACAGCTTTACAAATAAAGGCAACGACTTTTATGCCCAAATAAAAATGGGAAAAGAAGTTAAAACACAAGCATAGTGCATTTCGAAAGAGCTGGTGCAGGGCTGGCTGAGCAAGTCAAGAAAACAAGGACTCTGAATCAAAAATAAAACTTCCTTAAAGGAGACAGAATCCTTTTTAGCAATAAGGACACTCCATATGCTGCCGGGCAAGAGGAATTAGCCTACAGAAAGGATCTTGGGGTGCCAAAGCTCTGCCAGGCCTTTGAGAAGCTGTGCAGTTAAGTGTAGCAATTGATTACTTAGCTTTGTGCACTTTGGGACTCTTGGGGCATCTGCCATCTCTGAGACCATCCTTTGGTTCCCTGGACAGCACAGACATGAGACCTAGAAACAGGTGCCACAGGCCTGGGGACTGGTCAGGTCCACCTTGGTTCCCTAGCAGCTCAGCTTGTACAAAGGGGGCCATTTTCGGTTCCTTAGCAAGAGTATCACCGCAAAAGCCTGAGTTAGGGAACTGCACTCATTGTCTTTATTCGTCAGAGGCAGGGGTGGGGGAGGAGACCTTCGGAAATTTGCCCAAACCACTACTGTGACATGCCAGTGTTTGCTACCTCACCACCTTAGCAAAAAGCTCAGTCTGTCCACTCTGTCAGCCTGGTGTGAGTCACCTCGACAATAAAGGGACAAGGGTGGGGTCCTAACAGCTGGCTGTGCACTGTGCTCTGGAAAGCTCTTTTGAAAGTACCTTTTCTCAAAGCCACAGACAGACCCATCTCCTGAACTAAAGAGTGACTCACAGATCAAGCCTTTGAAGCATATGAAAATCCAACTGATCTCTGTCAAAGGGGGTTCTTCTCTGGGTAGGGAAAAGCCCAGAGATCCGTCACAGTTCTGTCATCTGATGTCAGGTCATCCTTTTCTTGTCTTCCCTATGTCAGAAGGAACTTAATGTTCTACACAAATGAACACACATACAAGCGCACACACACAAACGCACGCACTCACGCACACACATGCACACACATACACACACTCTGAATCTTCTCTGTGGGTCAAACCTTTGTGGTTTTGGAAATAGGCAGGAAGGAAAGCGAAGCAGCAGGAGATTCCCCTAAAGAGTTTAGTCTTTGGTTTCTAAGTTTAAAGGTGGGATCTGCTTCAGAGCCTGGAGCAAGGCCGAAGAGTCGAGGGACGAATGTGCCAAAGGAGAAGGGAGTCTCTGGGGCAGGAGCAAGGGGGTGGGAATCTTGTCTGGGTTCATGAAGCTGGAGAGGGCTGCCGCCGAGGTGTTGAGGCCTGGGTATAACAGTGGCACAGAGGTGGGGTACCAGCATTTCTCCAGCATTGGCAGGTAGGCAGTCGCTGATGGTGGGATAAGATAGAAGGGCAGGCAAAAGGGAGGCTGATGTGGGTGCGGCCCGAGGAACGAGGAGCTCATCAGGTCACTGGCAGCGAAGCGGCCTTCCTCATCGGAGAGCTGCATCCGGCTCTTTTTGGTGGGGGGCTCTTCAGATTCTTGCTTTATTGCGCTCACGCGTTCTCCCACGGTGAACCTGCGCCCGTGATCACTTTTGAAGTACGGCGGCTCGCTGCGCAAGTCACCCTTCTCCAACTCACCTCCATAGCCACTGTCCGTGTCCGTGTCACTCCCACTCTGCTCCCCACCCGAGGGGCCAAAAGTCCGCTGGATGACTGGCACACAGTTTTTCCCAGGGCCTTCTGATCCCTTGGCTAGGAAGCTGGGCTTCTCTTTGAAGTCCGAGGCTTTGGGAGCCGAGTCCAACGGTTTCCTGGAAGCACCACCCTGCAGTAGCTCGGAGACCACACGGTGGAGGTGAGTGACAAGCTGGGAAGATTTCAGGTCCCGAGTGTTTTCGTGCCTGGACAGGTACTGAAGCACCTCACGGGCACACGTCTGGAAACCCGAGCAGAACATTTCTTGTCCTGCCTCGATATTTCTTCCCGACAGCTCACCTGGAGGAAAAAAAGATCCGGAAAGAAGGATTTTAGAAGGCTGGATGCTGGGTACATCGGAGGAGGCTTCCTTCCTTTTTAAAATCATCAATTTGCATTTCCAGTTCCAGAAGTAATATGCGCAGATAATTCTGCTGAGAAGTGTAAAGAATGAAATAAACACATTCCTACCACTTAGAGACAGATTTTTTTTTCTTCTTTTTTATGATTGGGCTTTGATACAAAGTGCAATGGCATGTTGCTAAGCTACATACACTCCACTGTCCCCAAATACATACTTTTTAATGTCTATATGGTGTCCCAGAGAAAATAGGCCACATTACTTCTACTCTTGTTGCAGTTTTTCTTGTGACACAAAAATGAACATGCTAGCATATTATAAGTCACACTTTTTTTTTTTTTTTTAATGAAGAAGTCTCATTCTAGACTAGACCGACATTGAGTTTACTCCGCAACCCAGGTGGGCCTTGACCTCATAAGTAAGCCCATCTCAACTTTCAGAGTGCTGGGACTACAGGTCTGAGTTACCACACCCATCCCCAGTCAATCAGGATTAACATCAGTCTATGAAAGCAGAAGGCCAGAGAGCCCTAAAATGGAACAATATAGAAACAATACCACCTAAGCAAATACTGTCTCCCCACCACCTTTTGTAAAGAGAAGGTCTCCCTATTATGGCTTGGAATTCCCTATGCAAAACAGGTGGGCCTTGAATTTAAGACGTTCGGCCTCTGCCTTTAAAGTGCAGGACTACAGACATGCACCGCCATGCCCATGAAAGTTGTAGCTCACACCTGTAAGCCTAACACCTGGGAGGTTGAGGCTTGAAGATTTTGGAGTCTGAGTTTTAGGAAAGCCCAAAACGAAACAGGACAACCAAAACCAAAACCAAAACAAAAAACACAAAACTAAACCAACTCTGTACACACAAAAAATAATTACATTTCCCCTATGAACCCTAACTAGGCTCTTTATTTGTAAGGCTTTCCCATATACAGTATCCCTAACTCCCCTAGAGATCAGTCCTGATCAACTTTCTATTTTTAGAAAGAAAACTGGCAGACACGGTGGCTTGGTTTTTGTGATTCTGGTGTTGGCCTTGGACAGGACAGAATTATACTTAAGAGGGACCATGTTAGGATTCCCTCTGGGCTGTACCGTATGATCTGGATGGGGGAGAAGGAAAGTTAGTAGGTGCCTCTGATTCTCTGAAACTCAGGAGAAAAGAATGACGAAACCAGTGGTTTCATTAGATTGTGCAATTTGCCAAGATACCTAGTGGCTATTCAGGGAACCACAATGAAATGCAGGAAAGGAGGAAGAAAAAGAAGAATAAAATCTGCTGTCATTTTGCCAAGACTGCACCCTACATCCAAAGGCAAGGAAATAAAGAATCAGGGAAACACTGGGGGCAGACCCCGTGTTCTGTTCATCCAGCATCCACGAGTGAGGGCTCAGAAGACCAACATGAAACACCCACAATGTAAATTATAGGTGCCTTGGCATTTTAAAGCAGAATGGAGAACCAGACAGTCTCAGGCCAAAATGTCACAGGAATATTTCATCACTGGCCTAATATACTCATTCCAGGGGCACACAGCCACATTTCAAATGGAAAGAATGACCTTTCAGGAAAGAACAAAAGAGCATCTTCCCCAGTCAATGTGCAAAAAGTGAATGGGGACGGAAGAGAAGGCACAGCAAACCCAGGGCTCTTTATTTGTGCTGAGCTCTTAGGAGAGAGCTAATCAGACCTTGGCACTCACCAGCTTGTAAACCGCTCTGCAGGGCAATGATTTTTTGCTGCTGCTGCTCAATTAGGTTTGTCAGTGCTTTCACGTGCTTCAGCGTCAGCTCCAGAACCACTGCTTTCTCCAAGTGACCCAAAGTCTGAAAAAAAAGAGCAAAAGAGCCCCTGTCACCTGTGTGGTCGGTCAAATCCCAGGGGACACTTATTCGTGATGAGAACTGGGTGTGAACAAAAATGAAGGTGGGAAGAGCCTTTCCTGCTTCACTAAATTTAAAGTTTGCGGATGTTTGAACATATACATACAGATGATCAAAGGCTTAAAACAAACAAACACGTGTCATCTATCTTTGGAGACATTTCGGTAGCCGTTACAGTCTCAGGAGTAAGCTGACAGATATATCTCCCCAGCAGCTGCCCTGACCTTAACTCGGGGGACTCCAGGGATAACATTTCTCTGCTATGGTGTCAACCCAAGGAGGGATGTCTACTGTGTCTGGCAACCAGGAGGCTTTCCCAATGGGTGTCTTCCCCCCCCCACACACACACCCTTTCAGAACTTCCACTCACGAAGGCTTTTAGTCTTCCTTTCCAAATACTTTTCCTGAAGGAAAAGCTAGAAAGCTTTTGGCTACCACTAAAGGAGAGGACGCAAAGAAGAGGCAAACATTAAAGTAGGCCCTCTTATGTATGGAAAGTGAAGAAAGAAAAGGGCTTACTTTTTTAAACGTTTGTGTTTTGCTCCTTTAAGTCAGGGAAACTGCAAGGTGGTGAAAAATCACCAAAAGGAAGCTGTGCTAGTGTGGGAGGCAACTTAAAGAGGCCCTGGGTGGTTCTGGTTCTGTCTCTGCCTTAAAGTCCTGGCTCTGGGATAGGCTCCCTCCAACCCAGAAACACCAGCTTTGATCCGCCCGTCTAGCCTGCAGTTCCTCATAAGGCCTACAGGCGGCGAGTGACCCCCACCCGCCCTCTGGGCAGAAGAGCTGGATTGGAGCGCAGCCAGCTTCTCACTTACTGTAAGTTTGAGGTGTTCGGGTAGGAGATCCTTCAGCTGAGCAATGCACTCGTTAATCCGGTCACGTCTCTTTTTCTCAATCAGCCGGTGCGGCAGTTTGTAAGTTTCCTGCAGGGAGTACATGGAAGCGATGGGTGCCTGGGGAAGGCAACATGAAGCCTCCCTTCCCCTCCGCCCGGCAGCAGGGGAAAAAAAATTCTGCGAGGGTGCAAGGACGCACCCAGAATCACCTTCTCTGTCCCTTCTTTCCCAAGTCACTCCCTTGTGACAACGAGCTCACCACATCTCGAATCCCCCAGCCAACCTCCAAACAAGCAAACTTTTCTTGGAAACTCCAGGCGCACGGGAGGGGCTAGGGACCGGGGTCTCCAGGGATGCACCTACCTTGCTGTCCTCGCTCCGTTTTATCCCCCGCCTGGACTTGTACACTTGGTACATGTGGGCAAAATCCATCCTGCAGGGAGAGGGGCCAGAGAGAGCTGTGACTCCGTGTGCGCACTGGCTGCAGGCGCTCTATCCATACAAGCAAGAGGCACCCCCGGCCTCCCCCCATGCTCCCAGAGGTGCCCCCAAGTTGAGGGCAGCGCGGAACACAAGGCTAGGAACGGAGACATGAAGGGGTCACAGCGCACACTTACCCTGAAAGGTCTCCGTGCTCCAGCCCTGGCGCTTTAGGCAGGCAGGTAGGAGGTGGTTGCGCGCTGGGGATCCGCTCCATGATGCGGCGAGCCGGGGCCACCGTGCGCTCCCGTCTGCACTCAGCAGAGCGTCTGAGAAGGGACTGCCCTGGAAGGGAGGATCCGAGGGTCTCAAGGGGTACGTCCCTCTGAGCTAGCCTGAGCTAAATTGCAATGCGCCGGAAGCTGCGGCGTTGAGGCGTCTCTTCAGTTGGGGGCGTGCATAGCCGGGTGTCCCCGCGGCTTCTGGCTCCCGCTCTGCGCACAGACTGGCGGTGTGTGCTAGCTGCGCTGTCTGCGCCGTGCGAGCCAAGTGAATGAGAAGTGGGGCGGGCGGGGAGGCGGGAGGGAAGGGGGGGGGTTGCTTAGGGCGCGCGGGGGGGGGGGGTTGCTGGAGGGGACGAGCCGAGGAGTAAGGAGAGGCTGCGGGCTGGGTTAAATGGGAGCGAGTGGGTGGGTAGAAGCTACGTGTTCTACCCTGTGACTCCAAGCACGTCTGGCCGCTGCCGGGGAGGGAAGGAGCGACCTGCCCGCCCTCCCCCGGCTTCATCACATGAGTCTCACGTGTTGGACAACGCTCTGGCGGCTGCAAAGTCGTCGTCCCCCCCCCCCCCCGCCAACCCCCAACCTCGGGCCCCAGGTGTCTGCGGCTGCGGCCTCCTTTCCCCGAAAGAGGGGGTGGCAGCGCAGCCCGGGTCCTGCCCAGCTGGGTGGGGGGCACGGAAGCTGGAAGGAACCGGGGAGTGGGAGGGGGGGTTGGTAACGTGGGCGAACCTGCCCCAGGGAAATGAAGTAAGTTCCCGTCTCCTGGGAGGGAACGGGGGAGGAAGGATCCGCCCGCGTCTGAGTCAAGCCGGGAGAGGAATATCCCCTCGGTCGCTCCAGCCCAGCCCTCTTCCTCCTCCCCCTCCTGGCCCGCTCCTAGGAACCGGTGCGCAGCGGAGGGAGTCGGCGGCCCCCCTTGCCCTTCTCCAGGGGCTGGGGTTTCTTTCCGTCCTGGCTTCCCAGTTCCCCCTCTCCCCCCACCAACCCCCCCACCCCCGGAGCTCAGCCTCAGTGTCCAGGAATTGCCCGCCTTGGGGAGGGACCGAGGGCGGGGCGGATGTCACCCCATGGGAAGCGGGCAGGCGGCCAGGCGCTGGGGCAGCCGAGGCCGCCGCCGAGCACGCCGCGCGCACCTGACCGTGGCCCGTGTGAGCTGCGCGGGGCCCCCTCACTCTCCCCGGAGCTCAGCTCCGGGGCTCAGCTTGCGGGTGGCCTGGCACCCGACTGGCGCGCACCCATCTCCTCCCGCCTTCCAGGGTGCTCACTGCCCCCACCCACCCCTGGCTAGTCAAGCACAGAAAAGATACCGGGCGCGGTGCCCGGCGTTCCCTCCTCCCTCCTCTCTCTGCCCCCTCCGGAGCAGAGGCGTCCGGGTCGCCTCCCCTCCGGCTGCAGCGTTACACAACCGCGGCGGCGACGCCTGCCCTGCAGCAGCGCGGGGCGTGACGTTTCACGTGGCCCGGACGCGGGCCGTAGCCGGGCTCACGGCAAGCCTCTCCGCGCCGGCTTCCAAGCTGTGACCCCCGCGCACCCGGCTTCCAGCATGCCTGGGATCCCGCTGCTAACTAGGAACTTGGGTGGCGCTGTTGGCAGTCTGTTCCAGGGCAGGGGGAAAGAGAGAGAGGAGGAATGAAGGAAACAAAACAAAACAAAAACCCTCTTCGCCTATCACAGTGAAATCTCCACATTTATGCAACACACATTCATTGAGCCCCTTACGTATTGCTCGGCGGGCACGCTCCCGGCAGGAGACAGTGGAGGTATCAAACACGGATTTTGACCTTGAATTTATGGGGATCTTGGGAGGGAGCCAACGGGGCCAATCAGAAGCCAACCTTCAGCCTAAAGTCTACCGGGGCCGCCGGCAGAGAATAAACGATGAGAAGGTTTTAACTTAATACTAACCAAGACGTTTAGGCAGTAAAGAGGTTAACTTACAGGCCCGTGCTCGGGGCAGAGAGGGCAGCTCCAGGGCCCCCAGTGCTCTGCGATTTCGCTGAGGCCGCCGGCCTCCCCCTCCCCCCCCCCCCCCCGACCTGCCCTGGAAAAGTCTGGTCTCTTTGACCTTCTAACAGCCCGGAGCTGGGAAAGCATCTGAAACGCAGAACCTGCGGCGCTTTGAGCCGCGCTGACACACACAGCAAGGGGCCGGTGGAAATTCATGACTAAAATAAGGCCTGGCTGGGGATTTCACTGACCTCTGCGCTCCCCTGCCCTGCAACTTCGGGGAGTTGAGAGATGACTGTTAACCTTTCCCACCGTGCTTGGGGTCAGTCACTCTGCTGCGGAGTGACCTGGCTGGGGAGCTGGGGGAGGGGGGGGGGAATGGGGTCATTGCTGGGAGGTGGTGCACTTGGCGGCGGGGGGAGGGGCAGCAGTCTTTATGGGCACTGTTCTGACGACCTGGAGAACTGGGATTCACAAGTTGACCAAACAGGGAGTGCATTTCCTTCAGGTCGCTCAAGCTCCTACTTCCTGTTTATGTTTCACAAGCGTCAAACCCATTAGCAAGTGTGAGAAATGATTGCTTTTCTAACTGTTCACTGGCTGACCTCACTTTGGGGCTTAGCGATCCATCCCCGTCCTCCCCAGACGGACGTCCTTTGGCTGGCCGGTCATCATCAATCTCTCTGGAGGGAGTGAATGCTCCCACCTTCCTGCCGGGAGGCCGGGGTATGCGCCTGCAGTTGGGGGTGGGGTGGGGGTGAGGGCAGGCTGCGGCCTTCCTGCGACTCTAATAAGGGGGAAGCGTTGTCATGGTTGCGTCAAACCCTTAGTTCCACCAGGAAATAAGCTCTGTCAGAGGAAGGAGCATATGTCCTCTCTTGCGCCCCTCCCCCACCCCCAGGGAATCTCTGCCATTCTGCCTGCGTGGTTCATGGCTCAGGAAAATACCATCCCTAAAATTATTTGAGGGATCAGTACATTTCAGTTCTTCACTTGCGCTGCAGCTGCAAATAACAGAATGTGTGCATTGCTCACTTCAATCTTTTTTAAAAAACTTACTTACAAGCTCCCTACATACCTCAGGTAGGCCCAAATCTTGAGAAACTCCTGCCTCAACTTCCCGAGTTCTGGGGGATTTTAGGCATAGACTAATTTCTTTACATTTGTTCCAAATATACTTTCAGGCTTCAACATTATCGCCATCCTGCTTTGTCTGGATTTCTTTTTGAGATCTGTGGACGGAAGAAAGAAAGGCAGACAGACAAAATAACTTGATGTGTTGTTGAGAGCTGCTGTAACTCAGCCGATCTGCTTGCTTGCCGTGCAGTACAGCCAAAGTTCCGTCCCCAGCAGAGCATAAAACTGGGTGTGGCACCAGCTTGCCTCTAATCCCAGCACTGTGGAGGTAAAATCAGGAGGATCATAAGAAGTTATTTTTTTTATTTGTTATATATTTTGTTTAATAAAAAATTAACTTGGGCCAATGAAACCCTGTCTCAGAAAGTAATACAGAAGAGGAATCTGTTGTCTTTCCCTTGTATAGTTTAGACATTTGAAAAAATAATTCCTTCAAGTATGTACCTTTCTTTCCATTCTGAAGCATACCTCTGCCTCCGACTGTCATCTGTTTTAAAAGAAAAAATAGAGACAGTTTATTAAGAAAGAAAAAAGGCACTCCCTAGGGTGGGCTAGGCCTTGTGAGCTGAGAGGACCAGATGTTTAAAATCTTCTGTAGATTCTTAATGGATGCTTGTTTAGTTACTAGGTGCTAGTTTTCGGGCCACATGTTTGTTGCTCCCATCTTACGAGGCTGATTCGTGTTAGCCCAATTCATTTAACACAGGTATTTATTGAGAGCATTCCTCTGTGCAAGGCACTGGACCAGGTCCTGAAGTTACATAACACATACCTTTGGGAAACTGAAGCTCAGGGATACTGAATAACTACCCCAGGTTATATGGTCTGGGATTGGATGTGAACAAGAATCCAGGTTTGTTAGACTTCAGAAGCTATACTTTCTCTCTTCTTTAATTTTGAAATTACACAATGACACATTGACTTTATTAGCAAATCTGAAATAACATTGTTGAGTTTCTTTTGTGGAGGGAGGAAGGATGTTTAGAAAATCACATTACATTGAGATATGAGAATTTCACTCTGTAATTTAAAAGCAGGCATTACAGGATGGGCGTGGTGGCGCACATCTTTAACTGCAGCACTCGGGGAGGCAGAGGCAGGTGGATTTCTGTGAGTTCCAGGCCAGCCTGGTCTACAAATCGAGTCTAGGACAACCAAGGCTCTCTGCTGTGTTCAGAGCTAGGGCTCTGTCACACAGAGAAATCCCATCTCAAAAACAAACAAACAAAAAGTAGGCCTTGTAATGAGGTGTGGTCTTACACACCTCCAGGTAATCCCAGCCCAGGGAGGCAAACCGAGGATCTCAGTGCGTGGTCTATGTAGTGAGTTCCAGCAGTACATAGAAAGACCTTGTCTCAGTGGGGAAAAAAGTCAGCATTGTGACACTTTTAATTACATTTTGATCATCAAGCCTGGAAAAGATGATTTAAGTCAAAATAACTAATGCAGGTGTTCCCCCCCCCCCCAAGTGTGAACAAGAGTATGTTCACACTTAAGGGCTGCCTAGGGGAGGTGTACCAGCTATGTGCTGCTCAACTCCAGGGGGGGCCATTCGCATTGCAGTTTGTGTGAGAGACCCTCCAGAACTGTTCCGTCCCACGCTGAACACTGGATAATCTTGCCGTTTATATGTCCCTCCCCTTTATCTTTTTTCTTGTAACTGTGTAAACCTGATCGTTTCTTACAGGAAGGGATGAGATCTCTCATTTCTTGCTTGTGCAGATAGCACAAATGACACCTTGCCTGTGTATGGAGCATGGTTCCTTTTCTTTCCTCTACCACCCCCCCCCTTTTCAGTTCACGGTAACGAATACATTTTTATAATGGCCTGTAGTTCAGTCGTTAGACTGCTCGCTAGCATGCATGAAACCCTGGGTTTGATCCCTGGCGCCATATAAACTGGGTGTAGAGGTATATGTAGTTGGTCCCAGCACGGTTGAAATAGGGGCCTGAGAATCAGAAGCTCAGGTTTATCTTCTATACATAACCAGTCTGAGATACACAAGACCCTATCTCATATGGGATATATATATATATATATATATATACATATATATATATATGTATATATATCTATATATATTATCATAACCCAAGACATGTATACATCCATATGTCTTGAGTGGGTTTATAGCCACTGTTGAGTGAGGGCCTTTTCCTTTGGAAACATGTATCTACTCCGTCTAGAAAGGGAGCTAATGAC